AAATAAACAGCTTCTCTACTCAACAAATGTCCACAGTAGGGACATTTGGTTTATTGTGCTAACGAGCAGAGAGAGGCGCCTCCATGCAGCAGAAACTGTTTTGAAACCTCTGCTGTGTCCATGCATCTGTGCAAACACGAGGTTGTTTCCAGTTTCAGCACTCACTGAGTGCATAGAAATATTCATAAGAAATTGAATCTGTGACTGAAGTGTAAGAAGAAGAGCAAACCCAACCAGACAAAACCTCCAAAGACACAATAATGTTTGCATACTTTTCTCTAAAGGGCTTTGCTGTGAAGCAAGTTCATCACAGCCAGGTTTTCTGTGGATTAGTTGGCTTCACAAAACCTAAAACCTCAGGCATTGGTCAAATCAGGACATCATCAGCTCACCCATGGAAATGCATGCAGTGAAGCTTGCATCACACAGTTTGAGCTGATGCTAATGCCAGAGGTGGATGTTGCTCTGCAGTTACTGATTCAGCAGATCATTGGCAATGTTTAGGCATTATTCAGTAAGGTCTTTAGAATGACTCATTCTTTTACCAGACTGCAGGGCCATGAGACTGACAGTGTTTGACTTAAAGATTAAGATGTGTGGCCCAATGCTTTTGTCTATTTAGTTTATGCTAATTCAAAGCATGACCATGCAAAGCGCAGTTTGCACTACTGTAACTACAGCTGGGCTCCAGTGACGGTGTTATTAAGCCATACTTTGAACCTGTGCAGCCTGAACGTGTCCGGGTTACTTCAAGAGCCTCCAGAAATAATATTTGTCTTTGAAATAATGTCAAGTGTTCTTTACTGACCTCACGGGGATCATTCATTACAGAGAAGATTTAAGACTTGTAGAAATGCTCCGACTGTCTCTTTTTGTATTTATGCTCTACAGGGGATCAAGGACTCCATATTGGGGATTGGAACAATCTCCAAGCTGGATGCTCGTATCCAGCAGAAAAGGGAAGAGCAGCGGAGGAGAAGGGCCAGTGGGGCCCTGGCACAGAGACGGGCACAGAGTGAGGAGCGCAAACCGGACAAGTGAGCACCCGAACACATTTTGGTCGCATTTTGTTTTCTTCACTAGTAAATATAATAATGTGTGAATTATGATATGTTATCTAGTTGGAGCCATCATCATATCCACCCTGCAAACTGCAACACGCTGACAGTTCTCAGGAGTTTGTTTAGAAGTAATGAAATCAAGTCATGCGAAAGTGAAACATTAGTGTTGTTCATTTTCTCTTCTAGTGAACCCAAAGTAGCCAGCAGGATTTTTCAATGCTGTGCCTGGAATGGAGGAGTGTTCTGGGTAAGCTTAAACTGTTGCTGCCTCAAATGTGAAACATCGTTATCCACTAAAGTATCAAAGTTAAACGACCACGCTATGCAGGGAAGCACAAGTTAAAGAATAACAACGGTATTTCTCTTTCTCTTCTCAGCTTAGTCTGTTTCTCTTTTACCGGGTGTTTATTCCACTCCTGCAGGCTCTCACGGCAAAAATCATTGGTATGTATGGCTGCTGCTCAAAACCATGTTTTCCGGTATGTTACGGGAAGCAGATAATTACCAAAACTGTTTTTGCTCCAGGTGACCCCTCCCTCCATGGCAGTGTGTGGTCCTGGTTAGAGTTCATCCTGACGTCCGTCTTCAGTGCTCTCTGGGTCCTCCCCTTGTTTGTCCTCAGCAAGATCGTCAATGCCATCTGGTTCCAGGTCAGGCCCTTCTTTAAAATCAGAGTTCCACTCCATGCACACAAGATGGTAACTTTTTTTTGTCTCCTTCAGGCATCGGAGACTGTTGTTACTTCTGGTGTACGATTTTCTGTAGTAGCATTCCACTTTAGCTCACAGCAGTAGACTATACC